GACACTTTTTTCTCTGCGCTGCGCCTGGCTAGTTTTGAGGGGTCACCCATTCAGAAGACGACCGACACCTCCAGGCATGTGCCAGAAGACATCGAGATTGCGCATTACACGACTTACATGGAGCTGCTGGGTTGCAGTTGAGGATTTTTCTCACTTAAGCTGCAATCATATGGAGAGAGAACTGTTCTACTGCACAGTATACCGCTGATAACTCGTATGAGAGAGGTTTGTGTGGGGTGTACCGTGCCTATTTACTCATGTACAATGCGAAATCCTTCCCCCAAAAGAGCCCAAACCCAAAGGCCCAGGCAGCAGTAACCCTAAACCCCTAAACCCCTTAACAACTAAACCCCGAAACCCCTAAACCCCTAAACCCTTAACTCCTAAACCCCTAAACCCCTAAACCATAAACCCCTAAACCCCCCTAAACCCCTAAACCCCCCTAAACCCAGGATGGTCACAGCTTTCGTGGAGATTGGCTGGCCAGCCCTGAAGAAGGGCTTGCTCTTTGAGCAGACCAAGCCCCAACTGCACGAAGATGACGTGGCGCCAGTGGCTTGGCAGGGTCCAGGTTTGGATTGCTTGAAATTGTGGAGAATCAAATGGAAAAATGAAGTGGAAGCTGAGGAGATACATTCTTGCGTAATCATGGGCTTCTCGCATTGGACATGCGTACTTGTCCCCAGCTGATGAAGAATCAAATGGAAACTAACATTAAGGATCGCATGGAAGCTGGAGTTTTTGTGGTGTTACAGGGTGTTGTGTTAGAGCATTATTCCCACAGTCCTAACAGTCCCCTGAAACCCCTAAACTTCCCTAGATCCTGAACTCTCTATCACCTCTTCTAAAGAGGGAGGAGTGTTTTGAGGCAGAGAAAACCCTAAACCCTAAACCATCCTGAAAGGTGTATCGGCTGCAAGTGCACAGTGCAAGCCCAGTTTCGTAGAAGGTCTCTCGACCACACCGCCTCTTGTGCCGTTTTTCGTAAAGATGGCGGAACAGGATGCGGCAATTCAGCAGTTCCTGCAGCATTTTTCTTCGTTTCAGGGCCAGGACTACAACGCAGTGCAGCAGATTTATTGGCGCAACCAGCGCCCGAAGAGGTCAGCACCCACGCCAGTACAGAGTGGGCTGACCACACCGCAAGAGCCGGAGGATGTGCGCATGGGGGGGGAAGAGAGACAGATTGATCCGGCCAGTGCTCCACCTTCCCTCATGCAGCCTTTTTCCCTCCAAGGCGATGCGGCGCTCAGCGTCACAATCGGTGCTTTGGGCGTTAACATCAATGAGCAGGCGGCAGTGACCCAATGGTGCCAGACCACACCGCAAAACAACCTGGAAGTTTTCAACATGGTCAAAGCGTACCACGAGAAGGTCATCCGTCCAGAATATTATGTGCTGGTTTGTCAACTTGAAGCAGGCCTGAAGACCATTTCGGACCAGGTCTTCAAAGTGCAAGCCGACCTGGCATGGATGACTGCGGAGAACAGGCTATCCCAGAAATATGCCTGTGGCCTGCAGTTGCTCACAACTGGGTGGCCCAACGCGCTGGTTCCAGATGACAGGCTCTACACAATCAGCTGGATGATTATGCAAGTCCCAAAGCTCAAGCAGTTTTTGGAGATCAGGGGTTTTGTATCAGACCAAACCGCGCACGAGACACACCGGTACCTCAACATCCTCCAGGTCGAGCCCACCACTGTTCCTCAAAGAGAGGGTTTCTACAGCGGAATGACGATGTTGTCATTCAAAAGCTGGGAGTGCAGGCAAGCCTTTCTGGAGGCATATGGAGGTGCCAATGGGGTGCCAGTTTACAGGGATGAATCCACCCCAGTGCACAACCATCATGTGCGGGTGGCTCCCTGCAGCCCGCAATGGCAAAGAAAGATGGAATGACCGTTGAGAGTGATCCTGGCCTGCCTCAACAAGCACAGCGACCATGCCGCCACGTCCAAGCTGACCATCCTTTGGAAAACGCTTACTCTTCTGGAGCCTTCCAAGGATGGTGAGTACAACCCAGCAGTCACAGCCTGGGCAAGGCTTTTCTACACTGCAGACGAAGCTGGCTTCAAGGGCCGTTTGGAGATTGTGGAGGAGCTGGAAAGGGTGCTCATGTCGCCGCCGTCGGAGGTGGGCAATGAGGCCAAGAACCTGTGGGAGGAGCAGTGGTTCTCGGTTATGTGGGGTCCACAACATGAGTTGGACCTCACCGAACACACCGCATACAACAAGGCCAAGGCGGATGCCAACCTGTCCAGCAAGGGCCTTTGCGTGGGAAAAGGGAAAAAGCACTGGAGCCAGGCTGCTATCTACAGCAGCGACTACTCTCCGTACCCGTTCACCTTGGAGCTTGTCAAGGTGGAGGCCGTCCACTTTGTGTGGGACGAAATGTGCGACAAGTTCAAGAAGGAGAGTGAGAAGATAGGGGATTACCAGCCGGCCACGACCCAGGGCAAACCGCCGGTCACTGCCAAAGGCAGCACTGACCACAACGCCCAGTCAAGTACAGATGGTCAGGCTCCGATTGTTCCAAATCTTTCCCAGGCAGCAGCCCCAAAGCTTACTGCTGCAAAGACCCCAGCCAAAGGACCTGGCAGGGGCAAAAAGAGTGCCTGAAAAGTTGGGCCACAAGTTTCAGTTCCTCATTACAGATCACACCGCCGCACCTCTTGTGTGATCTGTTTGAGGCATATCCTTAGAGCTCACCTCACATTTGAAATCTATAAAGCTGAGGTAGGTGCTCAGGATTGGTTTGTCAGTGCAGCTCCCTCCACATTTGAAATTTCTAAAGGAGGTGTAGCTCCTGACCACACCGCGCAGTTTGTTTCAGATCTCTGTTCAAAATCCCCAGGGCATTTGAGGGTTCTTCAACAGATGTGGAATAAATTGATGCATGCAACTAATGGAAACACTACATTAAGAATTTCAGCCTTTGAATCCCAACTTTCAGCCACCTTAGAACTCTCCTTAGCCTCGCTCATCCCCCTCCCTTATGCCCAGGAGTTTGATTATGAGTACCCCGACCATGACCCCAATGCTGCGCATAATTCTCAACCAGCTACTGTGTGTGATAGAGACCTCCTTCTGCGTAGCAGGACTAACACAAAGGATCCTGGTTTCATTCCTGTTAAACTGATCACACCGCAAGCAGAGGGCCTCGCCCATTCCGCCTCTCTTCAAAGAAGATCAGGTAGAAGAAATAAAATCAGAGCCCAGGAAGCCCAAAACAAAAAAGAATTCAGAATTCACGTCTAATTCAAGTAGACGCCGAGCTCCGCCTCCAAGAGGCACACCGGGTACCCCCATGGGGGTCAACGAAGAGAGCACCCCAGACAGGGAAGGGGCCAAAACCCAGTCTAGGGGCAGCAGGAGGAGGGCAATCCGTAGGAGGGCCTATCGTTCCTGGTGTAGACTGAGTGCAAAGGAAAGGGCAAAGAGGGTGGGTTCCTCCAGCCTTGTCCCCCCCAAACCCAAACACGCAGCTCAGCCCAGGGCAAGATGGTTTAGACAAACCATATTATGGCAAGAACACTTCAGAAGACAAAGAAAGAAGAAGGTTACGAATTTCGCGACCACACCGCCTATGCCTTATGCTCATAGGTTTAAGGTGGGATCATTGAATGTACAAGGTTTCGCCGACACCCTGAAGTTGAAAAACTGTATTCAGCTAAGGTCTGAGCATTCCTTGGACATCCTTCTTCTTTCGGAAACTAGGAGCACCAGCTATTACTCCTACACCTCGGAAAAGCACATGGTGATGATATTGTCCAGTAACTACCAAGACAAGTATGCAGGAGTAGGTGCCATCATTTCTCCTAAAGCCAGACCACACCTCCTGGATGTTATTCAGGATTCATCCAGGATCTTGCATCTTGCTTTCAAGCAACAGGGAGGTAATTTTCACATCATTGGAGTGTACGCACCACATTCAGGTCTTGACTACGATGAGGTTAGAGAGCCATTTTGGGATAGACTAGAGCAAAAGATCAATTCTATACCTTCACCAGAACCAGTCTATGTAACGGGAGACTTCAATGTCAGGTTCCAGGCACGACACAGAAAAGATGAAGGGGTTTCAGGCCCATTTATATTTGGCAAAGGCCCCAGTTTCATCGACCATCATTTCCAATCAAACAGATCCCTATGCATCAGAACCATGTCCACATGTAACATGGTAGAGGCCGCATCCTTTAAGACGCTCAACCCGATCCAACAAATCACGTACAAGGACAAAGCAGCCCCGCCACCTGACTGGTCCCAGTTTCTCCTTGACCCTCTACCCCCACAGCAGGTTTACGCCAAGCTACAGGAGTATATGGACCACACCGCCATAGAAATCGCAGCTAGATGTCGTAGTTACCTGGAAATGCCGGACTTGCTAGAACCACCCAGGCTACTCCCGCAGGTCGACCCAGTAAGATTTCAGAGATTGGATCATTTTTGCGCAAAACGCCAGTGGCTCTCTACCGTACGTAACTGTCGTTCCAAACTCTATACTGGATTCCCCTCAGACCACTATCTCCTGGTAACAGAGATTCAAATTAAACTTAGAGCTAGGGAAGCTAAGGAGGCACAAGCAGTCAAGCTTCTTATTAAGGGCGCAACTGAGAGTCAGAAACAAGACTACAACGCCATCTTAAGGGAACTCTTGACGGAGCCAGCGCCAAATTCAGGTTTGCTTCCCATCGACCACACCGCCAAAGAATTTACTTATTATACGGACGGTTCAGGATCAAGAGGGAAGGCTACATCGCAAACTCCAGCGGGATGGGTGGTGCTACAAGGACAATGGCCAATGGATTACAGCGCACGGACCAGTGGTCACGGATCCGTGTAGAGATACATATAGGGGGGCAGCAGTTGGCTCTAACAACACGGGGGAGGTTACAGCTATTATTGAAGCTCTTTTACACGCACATTCGCAGGCAGCAACGAGGGCTGTCACACATTCAGACAGCCTGTGGGCCATCAACACAATCACAGGGAGATGGCGGGCCAAACACCACAAACCCCTTATCACACTCGCGCGGCAGCTTTCCCGTGCCAACGGCGTAGTCACCAGGCTTCATTGGGTAAAAGGGCACGCGGGACACGAGGGAAATGAGATCGCTGATAGGGAAGCGGAAAAGGGAAAAAATTCACATGATAGGCAGGGAACACAGGCGGCAATGCCGGAGGTCACGGACCACAACGCCCAAGCTCGTCAACCAGCGTCATGGGCGGAGGCAATGCGCGAGGCGGCAAAACAGGTATTTCACCCGAAACGGACCACAAGAGCACACCCATGGATTACAGACGCAACGCTGGAGGCGTTGGACAAGGCGAGAACAGCGGAGGCCAACCAGGACGAGGATGCCAAAAAACTCCGGAACCAGGCTAAACGTGCGGCGCGCAAAGATAGAATCAACTGGATCCATCAAAGGCTAATGGAGGATCCGGAAGGCAATAACACTGGATTTTGGAAGACGGTCAAAAATGAGGTTTCCAAGGCAAGAAGGGACATCTTATAGTGGATCACAAGCCGGTGCCGTGGAGTAAACGGCACGAAGCAGTACGGGATCACCTACAAGCCAAGCAATGGTTTAAAAACCAGAGCCTTGACCACACCGCGTTAAGGAATAAGGCCCCAATATTTCCCCCTAACGGGCAAACGGGAGAATTTACTATAGAAGAGCTTCAACAGGCTTTGGCTAAGGCTAAACGGAACAAGGCACCGACACAGAACTCATGTTATTGGAACATTATAATGAGATTTGGCGTGCGGGGGCAGTCCCGACAGGCTGGAAGGAGGCCGTTGTGGTATCCATATATAAAGTTAAGGGAGTAGATACGGATCCCAGCAACTACCGCCCTATTTCCCTACTGAATTCCATTTACAAAATCTTTGCAGCAATGCTTCAAGCTAGGCTAGCTGCAGACCATGACGCTCATATAAGACAGTCGCAGTACGGGTTCAGAGCACACAAGGGAACAAGACATCCGCTGTTCATCTTACGTAGAGCAATGGAGTGGTCCCAGATGACTAATCACCCTATGCATCTTCTCTTCCTAGACTGGAAGCAAGCTTTTGATTCAGTAGACCACGAAGCCATGACCATTGCGCTACGTAGATTCGGGGTCTGCCTGCAAGCACTCTCTGTCATAAACTCCATTTATACGGACCCCATGTTTTACACCAAAGGCCCCTCGTCAGCTCTTGCAGAAGGAATGGTAGGGTCGGGAATCCGACAAGGTTGCCCCCTCAGCCCATACCTCTTTATCATGGTCCTCACGGTCATTCTTCATGATGTAGACACCGAGCTTTTGTCACTAGGTATGGCTACTAACACTTGGTCGGTAAGCAGGCCGGTATACGACCTAGAGTACGCTGATGACACGCTACTCATGTCACTGACCACACCGCAAATTCAATCAATTCTTGCTACGCTAGAAAAGCAGGCTTCTCTTTACGGCATGCAGCTCAATCAGACTAAAACGGAGCTTTTAGAGGACCCGCGTCGTCCAATTCCTGGGATATATTTTCGCAACGGGGACAAGGTCCCGACCACACCGCAAGTTAAATATCTAGGCTCTATGATCGCGTGGCAAAAGACATTCGAAGCCGCCTTCTTCCACAGAAAAGCTCTAGCGGAAACTGGATATAAGAAACTAAGGCTTGTTTGGAATAGCACTCTGTCCCGAAAGACCAAACTGCGTATTTTCCAAGCAACCTTCGTGCCCATCCTCGCTTATGGCCTAGACTCCCTAACCCTCGTAGACAAACAACTAAAGCGGATTGATGCCTTCTATTTCAGGTTCCTCCGTAGAATTATAAACCTTAAGGCCTCGTACTACTCCCGGATTACCAACAACGAAGTGTGGTGGAGAGCAGGATACCCCAAACGGCCCTCAGACTTTATTCGTAATTCGCAGTTTACCATGTACAAAGAAGTGTTCGAAGCCCCTTGCCATGACCCGATTCATCATGTCATATTTGCTACGGCCTATAAGGACCGCACTCAAACTGAGGGGCGAAGGAGGGGCATGAAGTTTCCATATTGGATAGAGGTTACAACGCAGAGATATTTTCCTGAACACTGGTCAGCCAACCCTGGGCGGGGAATCTTTGGACCTAACGTAGTCTACGGAAGGGTCAACAGAGATCTGAAGCATTTTCCAGATGCTGCGCCAATGCGCGACAGACCACGCGCATGGCCCAAGCAAAAAAAAAACCATCCTGAACCATACCCCGTCTTAAGGGCATTAACCCCAACATGATCGCCCGTATAACTGTGTAACCCCTATAATTATAACCCTACATAATAGTGTAGTTTCCATTTTCTTTTCCATTATCCCTATATAACCCCAAGATATACCCTTCGGCAAGGCTGAGAACCAGTGCGATTTGCTCAACCATCCCGAGAAGCCCTTCGGCCACCCTCCCCTGGGCTTGGTGGAGTCGGACACCAAGGCCAAGGGGTTCTACTTGGGGTTCCCAGGGCCTAGGGGTTTAGGGGTTTAGGGTTTGGGGGTTCAGGGGTTCCTGGGTTGGGGTTATATAGGGGAGATATTGGGATAATGGAAAGGAGAATGGAAACTCCTATCTAGGTTTAGGGTTTAGGGGCTCAGCTCCATAGTATTTCATACCGTATACATGGCCATGATTTTGGGGTTTGGGATGTTGGATTCTTGAGCTTTTGTTGCTGCACATGGTCTCGTATTCCAAACCCTCATTCCGTTCCCCCGGATAACAAATGTTTCTCCTCGACATATAGTGTCATTATTCGGGAATGTGTAGTATCAGGAGCCAGGGAGTTTTGGCTTGCTGTGAGTACCAAAGAAAGCTCTTGAGTCTAAAATTGGGGGGTTGAGGTTTAAGCTAGCAGCTAGCTTCCCAGCAACCCCCTGTAATGAGTCCTCCCAAGGGCGCAAACTCTAAAACCTGAACCCCTGAACCCCTGAAACCCTGAAACCCTGCGCCCCTAGATCCCCGACAGCGGAGGCTTCTCGCACCTTGGCGATGTCTGCTGCTTTGAGCCAGGCCTCGCGGACCACGCACGAGGTGGGCTTATGCGACCAAGCCTGGTTTTGGGTTTAGGGTCCAGGGTT